CATTCACTGGTTCACTCCCACAATACCAGCAGTGGCTGAGACTAGTCTGGGCTGAGGCTGGGGATAGAGAACTCAATCCAGGCCTCCTGCATAAGTGGCAAGAACCCAGTTACTTGAGTCATTATGACCACCAACCAGGGTGTATATAAACAGAAAGTTGCAGTCAAGAGACAGAGCAGGCAGGCATTAAATAGAGGCACCCTAATATTGGATGCAGATGTCCCAATAGTACCTTAACCACTAGGACAAATTTCCATACCTTCACTCTTTTTGAGGTGCTCTTGTATATATTTTCTTAACTATGAATAAGATGATTAGTGAAGTATTAGAATTTTTTGGAATGTAGATGTTCTCTTCTATGAAATGTCTGCTTATGTCTATTGCTTTAAAAAAAAGATTATTTATTTAAATGGCAGAGATAGAGATCTTCATCCGATGGTTCACTCCTCAAATGGTTGAAACAGCCAGGACTGGGCCAGGCCTAAGCCAAAAACTTGGACCTCCATTTGGGTCTCCCACGAGGATGGCAGGGGCCCAGTCCAAGCCTTTGGGCCATTTTCTGCTGCTTTCCCAGTTGCATTAGTAGGGAGCTGCATTAGAAGTGGAGCAGCCAGGACTCAAACCAGCACTCACAAGGCAGCAGCTTATCTCGTTAAGCCACAATGCCAGCCTTCCCACCATTGCCATTATTTATTGTTTTATCTTGATTTGTAGGAACTCTTTGCATATGCTAGATACTAATTATTTGTTTGTTATAAATATTGTACATGCCTTCTACTAATGTATGGCTTTTTTTAAAGTTTTCTTTATGGCATGTTTTTCTCTTTTTGTATCTTAAGAAATTCTCTTTACCTCTAATATCAAATTCTACATTTTCTAATATTTATTTTCCTTTTTATATTTAGTTCTCTGAATAGGGATTTGCTTCTGTTTATGCTGTAAGGTAGACTTTTTTTTTTTTTTTTTTACAGGCAGAGTGGACAGAGACAGAGAGAAAGGTCTTCCTTTTGCCGTTGGTTCACCCTCCAATGGCCGCGCTGATCCAAAGCCAGGAGCCAAGTGCTTTTCCTGGTCTCCCATGCAGGTGCAGGGCCCAAGGACTTGGGCTATCCTCCACTGCACTCCTGGGCCATAGCAGAGAGCTAGCCTGGAGGAGGGGCAACCGGGACAGAATCCGGCGCCCCGACCGGGACTAGAACCCGGTGTGCCGGCGCTGCAAGGCGGAGGATTAGCCTAGTGAGCCGCGGCGCCGGCCCTGTAAGGTAGACTTTCAAGTTGATTGTGGTTACCTGTATTTCTCTCCCCATAGTCCCTTGGTTTGAATGTTATTGGAACAAATCTTGATGGATGATAGGATACATGTTATTTAAGAATTATCTTGGCTATTTTTGTTTCATTGCGTCTTCATTTTTATTTATAGTGTCAGCTTCTTAAATTCCAGGGGGTGAGAGGGTTACCTCCTGTTGGTATTTTGACTGAAATTGCTTAGAATTGGCAGATTATTTTGGGTATAATTTATATTAATAGGATGTATTCCATTTATTTAAATCTTCTATAATATTACTTTTTTTTTTTTTTTTTGACAGGCAGAGTGGACAGTGAGAGAGAGAGACAGAGAGAAAGGTCTTCCTTTGCCGTTGGTTCACCCTCCAATGGCCGCCGCGGCCGGCGTGCTGCGGCCGGCGCACCGCGCTGATCCGATGGCAGGAGCCAGGAGCCAGGTGCTTTTCCTGGTCTCCCATGGGGTGCAGGGCCCAAGCACCTGGGCCATCCTCCACTGCACTCCCTGGCCACAGCAGAGGGCTGGCCTGGAAGAGGGGCAACTGGGACAGAATCTGGCGCCCCAACCGGGACTAGAACCCGGTGTGCCAGCGCTGCTAGGCGGAGGATTAGCCTAGTGAGCCGCGGCGCCGGCCCTTCTATAATATTACTTCTATAGTCTTGGGCATCTTTTGGTTACATTTCTTCCAAGTGCCTTATATTTTTTATTGTGATTGCAAGTGATATCTTTTTTTTTTTTTTAGATTTATTTATTTGAAAGGCAGAGTCACAGAGAGGCAGAGAGAAAGAGAGAAAGAGGTCTTCCATCCTTTGCTTCACTCCCCAAATGGCCACAATGGCTGGAGCTGCCCCGATTAGGAGCCAGTAGCTTCTTCCTGGTCTCTCACACAGGTACAGGGGCCCAAGTACTTGGGCCATCTTCTGCTTTCCTAGGCCATAGCAGAGAGCTGGATCAGAAATGGAACAGCTGGGGCTAGCCCCGTAACTAGCACTGCAGGCAGCAGCTTTACCTGCTACTCCACAGCGCTGACCCCTCCACTACTATTTTCAGTATGGCCATACCAAGAGCTTTCTAGGAGTAAGATGTCCAGCATACTATTACAATTGTATCAGTCTTTATCAGTTAGTTAAAACACATAGCTTATTGTCTGTTTTAGATGTATTTTTCATTGTATTCACCAGTGATTTTTTAACATGGAATAGCTATCAGTATGTGTTTAAGAAATGAGTGATGGGGGGGCTGGCGCTGTGGCGAAGCGGGTAAAGCTGCTGCCTGCAGTGCTGGCATCCCATATGGGCACTGATTCAAGTGCCTGTTGCTCCACCTCTAATTCAGCTATCTGCTGTGGCCTGGGAAAGCAGTACAAGATGGCCCTAGTCCTTGGGTCCTTGCATCCGAATGGGAGACTCAGAAGAAGCTCCTGGCTCCTGGTCTCAGATCGGCACAGCTCCTGCCATTGTGGCCAGTTGGGGAGTGAACCAGCAGTTGGAAGACTCTCTCTTTCTCTCTCTGCCTCTCCTTCTCTCTCTGTGTAACTCCAACTTTCTTTCTTTCTTTTTTTTTTTTTTTTTTTTTTGACAGGCAGAGTTATACAGTGAGAGAGAGACAGAGAGAAAGGTCTTCCTTTGCCATTGGTTCACCCCCAAAGTGGCCACTACAGCCGGTGCGTTGCACCAATCCGAAGACAGGAGCCAGGTGCTTCCTCCTGGTCTGCCATGCGGGTGCAGGGCCCAAGGACTTGGGCCATCCTCCACTGCACTTCCAGGGCACAGCAGAGAGCTGGACTGGAAGAGGAGCAATCAGGACAGAATTCAGCGCTCCTATCGGACAAGAACCTGGGGTGCAGCGCTGCAGTGAGATAGCTAGTGAGCGCGGCACTGTGTACTTCACTTCAATAATAATAAATCTTAAAAAAAAAAAAAGGCAAAGAAGTGAGTGACCTCTGCTGCTTTCCCAGGTGCGTTAGCACGGAGCTGGATCGGAAGTGAACAGCTGGAACTCAGCCAGCGCCCATATGGGATGCTGGCGCTGCAGGCTGGGCTTAAATCATTGCGCCACAGCACTGGCCCTTAGTGGAAATTTCTTAAACTTCCAAAACCCAACAAATCATACTGATTGTTAGAAAACTACCAAGTGTTGCTCAGTAACATTTAGAAGATATTCCTTAATATCACTACCTGTAGCTTGGTTTAGCACCAGCAACATATGGTGCCATTGTCTTCTCAAATAATTACAAGGCAAGAAAAACTCTCATTAGAATAAACAAGGGGCCCCACACTGTGGCAATACATATGGGCTTGGTTTAAGTCCCGGCTGCTCCTCTTCTGATCCAGCTCTTATTTTATGGCCTGGTAGATCAGTAAAAGATGGACCAAGTGTTTGGGCCCATGTACCCACGTGGGCGACCAGGAAGAAGCTCCTGGCTCCTGGCTTCAGAATTAGCCCAGCTCTGGCCATTGTAGCCATTTGGGGAGAGAACCAATGGATCAAAGACCTTTCTCTGTCTCTCCCTCCCTCTCTGTAACTCTAACTCTCAATAATAATAATAATCTTAAAAAAGGATAAACAGTCTGAAGTGGCATAGAAAGCCTTTTTAATAAATAATACCGGGGTGGGGGCGGTAAAAAAAAAAAAAAAGAAAAGAAAAAAGAAAGAAAAAGAAATAATATCTAGGGGCCAGTGCCAAGGCACAGTAGGTTAATCCTCCGCCTGCGGTGCCGGCATGCCGGCATCTCATATGGACACCGGTTCTAGTCCTGGCTGCTCCTCTTCCTGTCCAGCTCTCTGCTGTGGCCTGGGAAAGCAGTAGAAGATGGCCCAAATGCTTGGGCTCCTGCACCCACATGGGGAAACCAGGAAGAAGCACCTGGCTCCTGGCTTGGGATTGGTGCAACTCTGGCTGTTGTGGCCATTTGGGGAGTGAACCAGCGGAAGGAAGCCTTTTCTCTCTGTCTCTCCCTCTCACTGTCTGTAACTCTACCTCTCAAATAAATAAAATCTTAAAAAAAAAATACCTTCTCATCTGGGGTGATTCAGTTACTTTTTTTTTTTTTTTTGACAGGCAGAGTTAGAGAGAAAGAGAGAGACAGAGGAAAGGTCTTCCTTTTTCCGTTGGTTCACCCCCCAAGTGGTCGCTACAGCCAGCACGCTGCGGCTGGTGCACAGTGCCGATCCGAAGGCAGGAGCCAGGTGCTTCTCCTGGTCTCCCAAGCAGGTGCAGGGCCCAAGAACTTGGGCCATCCTCCATTGCCTTTCCAGGCCATAGCAGAGAGCTGGACTGGAAGAGGAGCAACTGGGACAGAATCTGGCGCTCCAACCAGGACTAGAACCTGGTGTGCCGGCGCCGCAGGCGGAGGATTAGCCTAGTGAGCCGTGGTGCTTGCCGATTCAGTTACTTATGATGAAAGAAAGACTGTAATAGCTGTAATATTTAGCCTTTGTGTTCTTATGCTTCAGAGATGAAATTAAAACTTTAAATTTTGCAGTTAAAATATGTTAAGGATATATTTGTCTATAATTGATATATTAATATATGAAATTTATGTTTATTATGCATGAAAACAAATATATATATCTTTACATATGTAAGTGTATGTATATAAATGTATGTAAGGGGTCAGTTTAACTCTTAGATAGTTACTTGTCATGAAGCCTAAAATGAAATTTTTGAATCTTTTACTAAGACATTAATTTGTACTATTTGTGTTTTTCTTCTTAGTTTCTGCCACTGCCTTCTACAAAGCACAACCTGTAATTCAGTTCATGTGTGAAGTTCTTGACATTCATAATATTGATGAACAACCAAGACCTCTGACTGATTCTCATCGGGTAAAATTCACCAAAGAGATAAAAGGTGAATTAATTAACGTGTAGAACAATTTAACTATAAAATGCATGGATATTATAACTTTTTATAGAAATGTTTTTCTGTAATTAAAATCTCTGTAACATCTCCAGTAAAAATACAGATAATTACATACATTAAAATTATCAACAAATTCATTATTATCACATCTTAGGTAGTGTTTGAATGAAAGATATGCCAATGAAATCAATATCATTACCAGTAATTTTTTGTTAATATTTTCCCTTACCAGCTGAAGGGAAAATGCATCTATAATACTGTTAAAAATAGAAAGCTTATTTTGTAAAAATATTATTATTTTAGAACTAGACTCAATGTTTGAACATATTCTAGCATAATGATTTCCTTATTTTTCTAAAATGATAGGCTTATTTATTCCTTTGAAAATTTATGAATATGGGATAGCCTGCTTAATGTGGTATTGTACAGTTGTGATAGCTATTTAATTGATGTACATTATAAAATTGATCATGATACCTAATTTTTAGTAGCTAAATTTATTTAGTGGTGCCGCATCATATGTACATTTAACTCATATAAATTCATTTACTTATGGTTTCCCAAAAAGAAAATAAATAATTTTGACAGTATTCTAAAATTTATTTTTTACATATGGTTACTTTTTTATATCAATCTATCTATATTTCTCTACAATTTTGATATACATGTACAGTTTTATGTGCAAACTGATATATACTATACCTGCAATTTACTGGATTTTTAAAGTATAATTTTTGATGATGTGCAATTCTTGTCTTGTTAATGATTTTAGAGTCCAATCCTCATGTAAGATGTGACTCCACTATATTTAGTTTATTATTTAAATATGAAGAGAAATTAGATATTCTCCAATCAGGATGAATAGTCTAAAACCTGTTCAAATATTAGATCTTAAATATACTTGCTGTTTTTTATTTTAAGATTTGACCTATTTATTGCAGATAATTTTCAGCTTGTGGTTTGAATAAAGCATTCATGTTTGTTCCCTGAACACCTTTCAGTTTCCCAAATCAATTAGAGTAGCTAAATGCATCCTGCTTGCTCCGGTAACCTATTCATTTTTTACCATTCAGTAACAAAGAGAGACAATCATTATAATAAAAACATTAAAAGGAAATCCTTCTGTCTTAGAAATAAGCACCCATTGATCTCAGATTATATAAGTACCAAAATAAGAAACTGTTCAATATAATTGTTTTGCAATCATCATTGTCTGTTCATGATCCGTATAAACTGCGCAGTTAGCATTGTCAGGAGGTTAGTGCATTATCTGCCATTATGTATTTGATCACCTATGTGCCATGGTATCCAGTAGAGTTGCTGCTTAGTTACCACCTCTGATATCATGAAGTCACTTAACATTACTTTGCGGTAACTATGCAATCAACTCATATCACCACTCTATCACAGAGAACACGAGATGTACCGAACCAGGGTTCAACTGCTGCCCGAAGAGCATGGACTCGAGCTTAACTTCAGCTGCTCAGGGGCCCAAAGAAATGACTGAAAAAATGACTAGAAAGCATGTTAAAGTTGATGTTATAGTGAAGGTAAAGCCAAGTTTATAGGTTAAATATTTATTAAACCAAAAATATTTTTGGTTGGATGGAGGGTTTGGGGAGGGACTTGGGCAAAGAATTTTAAAGTTTCCACTTTTTTGCTAGTCCCTGGATTTTGGTCTAATTCTTAGGTCCCTATAATACCAGATTTGAGGCAGAAAAATCTGGATTCGATCTGATTAGCTGATGATTTTCTTCTCCATTCAGAGTCCAAAGGACCTTTTTTTAAAAAGGGTTCTTTAACGTGCATCATGTACTCCTCCCTCAGCAACTCAAGAGCATCGGAGTTTTGTGTTCTGTGCTGTGTATTTGGGTTTTAATTTTTAGCTGGCATGAGGAATTTGATGATAGCTCTTAAAACAAAGTTTGCTATGACAAATAAAGTTTTAGAAATACATTCAAATTCCAGTTGAACTTCCCCTAAATATTTAATAATAACAGTGGGATAATTTTTTTGTCATTCAATAATTCATGGTAGTTAAACAACAGAAATACTGAGGGGAATATATGGTAAAAGTACTATATTATATAAAAGTACCAATTTATTTTTTGTAAAAGCTTATTATATAGGCTTGTAGAGGCTTACTAGTATATTTTAATTTGGGGGAAGACTTGAAAAGAAATTGCTAAGTGGTACAAATAGCAAAAATTTGTTTTAAAATTTTTCTATTGTGATTTCCCCCAAACATATTTGCATATCTTGCTTACTTCGTATTATTGGTATTTCCTTCTTATAAGACCTTCCCTTGTATTTTCTAGTCTCCCTTATGATATAAGGACATAATATTTTAATTGATCTTAAATTTTTATTTTATAAAGATAGTTGTAACAAAAAACTACTCACTGACTAAATTAGGAGCACTTCTCAAGAAAAGCCCATACATACCCTTCTAGTACAGGACACTGGGTGTGCTTAATGGCTTGATTTGTGCTCCTAGAGGAAAATGTTATCTACTAGGAAAGAACTTTGATATTATAGTTAATAATTAGATAAGATAACTTACGCACTAGCAGGATTTCTCAGATGTGGCACTACTGACGTTGTGGGCTGGGTAGTTCTTTGCTGGGATGCAGAGTGGTGCTGTTATTTATGCTGTAGGGCACTTAGGAGTACCCTGGCCTCTACTCACTGGATGCCAATAGCATTCCCCCTTCCCACTGTTGTAGTAATCAAAAATGTCTTCAGCATCTCCAAATGTCCCCTAAGGAACAAAGTTGCTCCTAGTAGGGACACTGCAGGAATCATAAATATAAAACATAGTAATACAAAGAATGACAACCATAAATATTATCAGGGAACTAAAAATTGTCCTCTATTTATCCTTATTTAGAGTCTCACCCATTGGAGTCTAGAACAAATTTTAGAAATGGAGGTGCTTACTTGTGACTAGTAGCCCCTGTGTGTCTGATCATTAATCCTTTTCTATTTGACTTAGAATAATCAATATTGTAAAAGGTCTGTGTCACTATATTATACTTCAATAAAATTGTCACTCACTTTTCTCAAAAGGGCTGGGCTCCAATACTGCATTTATGTGGACGACAAGTATGATAGCCACTAGCCATGTGTTGCTATTTGAATTTGAACTAATTAGGAATCTCAGTTTCTCAGGCGTATTAGCCTCATTTCATGTGCTCATTAACAGTTAACACATATTACTTGTAATCACCTTATTAGCACAGATGTGGAACATTCCATCATCTCAGAACTAATTCTGTTTGACAGCACTCCTTAAGCAAATTTATCCCAGGAATGTCAGCAGATAGTTGAAAGCCCATTTCTTCACTTTCTAGAGCTAGGCTGGGAACCTCAAATTGCTAGAGTCTGTAGATGGACTGCAGGAATCTAGGAACACCTAAATTCGTGTTTTAAACTATGTGCATTTTCTAAGTTATTGTTTTCAGATTTTAAAAAGGGTTAGTGATTCCATAAGAAAGGGATACCCTGTTTTAAGAATTATTTTGGTTGTATTTGATTTCCAGTAGTCAGTGTTTTTAAAGAACTGTGTCACTATGTTACACTTTTAAGGGCCTGGCCTTTTTTTCTTCCAGCTTTATAAAGCTTTGAAGAGCTTCCTCCTTGAACTTTAGGAAACTCTGATTTTCATTTGGTATGTGATGACTTAGGCCATTTAAATATCACATACTTTGAAGGTTACAAAATACCTTGAGTATTACTGCAACTCCTCTTTCATTCCTCTTTCTCCTGGAATAAATACCTGACTTTATTACAAACAATGTTTTTTATTAATGGAAAAATTTTCCCTTGATATATGAACTTTACAAATTTAATGGTTCTACTTTTTAATGTCTGGAGCTGATGGGGTAGAGGAAAGGTCTATTGTGATTATAACCATTATAACCATTAGTAGCAATATTATAAATAAAACCATTTGTTCAATTCACATCATACCACAGATTTTCTCTCTGTTCAGAATTGAATTTTTATAGTAGTGAACAGGCTTTAGGAGTATAAATATTTTACATGAGACAATTCTGTAACTTCTGTTTTTCTTGTTGGGAACAGGTCTGAAGGTTGAAGTGACTCATTGTGGAACAATGAGGCGGAAATACCGTGTTTGTAATGTAACAAGAAGGCCTGCCAGTCATCAAACGTAAGAAAAGATGGTATTTGTCTGAGCAGGGATAGTGAGAAGCACCTTGCTCTAAGTGGTGGGTTGGGAGTTTTGCTGGCTCATAATAGGATAACAGTCGATAATGTTTACCTTGTTTTTTCAGCTTTCCTTTACAGTTAGAAAATGGCCAAACTGTGGAAAGAACTGTAGCGCAGTACTTCAGAGAAAAGTATACTCTTCAGCTGAAGTACCCACACCTTCCCTGTCTGCAAGTGGGGCAGGAGCAGAAGCATACTTACCTGCCCCTAGAAGTAATGCCTTTATGCTGCTTATTAGTAGTCTCTCCTTCCCTATTTTTTGGAGTCTTTCATGGTCCATAACTTATCTCATACTTTCACATTTATTTTGTAATATGAACTGTTTGGGAATTTTTATTTTAAATTTTCTGTAATAATATGGAATAAGTTCATTCATAAGCCTGCTACTCTAATGTAATCACCATCAACATTTTGGTATGATGATTGCTGCCTTTTTATCCTGCATATATTTTTCCTCTTTATAATCATTATAAAGAATTTTGTTGACTACTTTTTTTATGATACTGAAAAGCGATTTGATGAAATAAATTTAAAATTTGTATTTTACATGTAATTGGCATTGAGTAAGAGCTTAAAAAATAGATTTGTACATTTAGCATAAAACTTATTTCCTCTTATAGGTCTGTAATATTGTGGCAGGGCAACGATGTATCAAAAAGCTAACAGACAATCAGACTTCCACTATGATCAAGGCTACAGCAAGATCTGCACCAGATAGACAAGAGGAAATTAGCCGATTGGTTAGTACTTAACTCCTGAAATGGGAATTTAAAACATATTATATACAGTAGGGGCATTTAGCCTAGTGATTAAATGCCTTTGTCCTGTATCAGAGTACCTGTGTTTGATCCCTGGTTCCAGCTCCTGATTCCCAAGCAACAGCAATGGCTCAATGGGTTCTTACCACCCACTGGGGAAGACCTGTGTTGAGTTCCTGGCTCCCAACTTTGGCCCAACTGTTGAAGGCATTTGGGGAGTGAACCAGCAAATAGAAGCTTGCTCCCTCTGTCTCTCCACCTCTCCCACTTCTTTCTATCTCTCTGCCTCTCAAATAAATACAACTAAAAAAATATATATAAATGGCCAAACTTGAAGAACCTGGCTCCTGACTTCAGCCTGGCCCAGCCCTGGCTGTTGCAGGTATTTGGAGAGTGAACTAGTACATGGAAGATCTCTCAGTTTCTCTCTCTCTCTCTCTCTTTCTGCCTTTCAAATAAAATGAAAACAAATAATTTTATTTATTTATTTATTTGACAGAGTTAGACAGTGAGAGAGAGAGACAGAGAGAAAGGTCTTCCTTCTGTTGGTTCACCCCCAAAATGGCCGCTATGGCCGGTGTGCTGTGCTGATCCGAAGCCAGGAGCCAGGTGCTTCCTCCTGGTCTCCCATGCTGGGCCATCCTCCACTGCCTTCCCGGGTCACAGCAGAGAGCTGGACTGGAAGAGGAGCAACTGGGACTAGAACCCAGCATCCATATGGGATGCCAGTGCTGCAGGTGGAGGATTAACTAAGTGAGACACGGCATCACCCCCTCAAATAATTTTTTTTAAAAAAACTAATTTTATAGCTATAAGATAATGGTGAAAATTAATTATTAAGCACTTAGCATCAAGCATGTCACACAGCAAGTCTTGGTAAAAACTTGTTTTTTCCAACCTTTCTTTGGAGGTACACACTGGAAATGAATGGCTATTAAGCCTGAAGAAAAAGATGCATTAGGGTCTTTTTTTTTTTTTTTTTTTTGACAGGCAGAGTGAACAGTGAGAGAGACAGACAGAGAAAGGTCTTCCTTTTGCCGTTGGTTCACCCTCCAATGGCCCCTGCGGCCGGCGCATCGCACTGATCTGAAGCCAGAAGCCAGGTGCTTCTCCTGGTCTCCCATGCAGGTGCAGGGCCCAAGGACCTGGGCCATCCTCCACTCCACTCCCGGGCCACAGCAGAGAGCTAGCCTGGAAGAGGGGCAACCGGGACAGAATCCGGCGCCCCGACTGGGACTAGAACCCAGTGTGCCGGTGCCACAAGGCGGAGGATTAGCCTATTGAGCCACGGCGCCAGCCAGGGTCTAATTTTTTTAGAAAGCTTTTATTTAATAAATATAAATCTCATAGGTACAGCTTTTGGATTATAGTGGTTCTTCCCCCGATACCTGCCCTCTCACCCCAGAATTATCCCACCTTCTACTCCCTCTCCCATCCCATTCTTCATTAAGATTCATTTTTAATTATCTTTATATACAGAAGATTAAACTAAGTGAAGATTTCAACAGTTTGCACCCACACAGACACACAAAGTATAAAGCTCTGTTTGAAGACAAGTTTTACTGTTAATTCTCATAGTACAACACATTAAGGACAGAGGTCCTACATGGGGAGCAAATGCACAGTGACTCCTGTTGTTGATTTAACAATTGACACTCTTATTTATTATGTCAGTAATCACCCAAGGCCCTTGTCATGACCTGCCAAGGCTATGGAAGCCTCTTGAGTTCACAGGGCCATAATCAAAGTGGATGTTCTCTCCTCACTTCAGAGTAAGGTACCTCCTCCTTTGATAGTAGGGCCTAATTTAGAAAATTACTTTTCCTGCTTATTGTGAGAAGATTCTGTTTGTATATTTAAATTACACACAGCCTTTTAAACGGACTTTTAGTCACAGACTTGAATGTCGTCTATTTTTGTGGTGGCCTAATTTGACCTTCATCCTGAGAGCAATTAAAAATGTTTTGGAAAACAGTTAATATAGCATAAGTTACAATGAGACTCATCAAATTCTTTATCTTTGATTGGATTTATGAATATACTATATCAAAATTATAGCCTATAACTTGTACTGATTTTCTTGTCTGTCTGAAGTATACCCCATTAAGTAAATTTCATAATATGGTACTATTTATCTAAAAATATTAAAGTAAATTTTATATGTTATAAAGTCATTAGAAAAAAGCTTTAGTATTTTTAATATTTACTACCATATAAAATAAATTTTAGTAGTATGTGTCTGGATCTCCTGTAATCAGAAGTTAAGACCTTTCTTTATTTTAATTTATTTGAGAGGCAGAGAGACAGGGAGAGAGAGCTCCTATCCACTGTTCCACTCCCAGAATGTTTAGTGAAAACCAAAAGCCAAGAACTAAATCCAGGTCTCCCGCATGGGTGGCAGGACTCCAATCATTTGAGGAATCGCTGCCTCCCAGGGTCTGTATTAGCGGAAAGCTGGAGTCAGGAGCCAGAGCTGGGTGTCAAACCCAGACACTCCAGTATGGGACACAGGGGTCTTAAATGTTAGGTCTTAAATGTTACCCCTCTTCCCATTTTTAAAGTGAGATGCTTCTTTCTCCCTCCTAAAACATATTAGGCTGAATCATAGAAGTTACCATTTTGAGAGTCATAAATAGTTAAAATTTCTTATTCTTCAACCTATATACATTTAAATTTTGTAAAAACTAGTAGGCGAGGGCCAGCACCGTGGCTCACTTGGTTAATCCTCCACCTGCAGCTCTGGCATCCCATATGGGTGCCGGGTTCTAGTCCCGGTTGCTCCTCTTCCAGTCCAGCTCTCTGCTGTGACCCAGGAAGGCAGTGGAGGATGGCCCAGGTGTTTGGGCCCCTGTACCCGCATGGGAGACCAGGAGGAAGCACCCGGCTCCTTGCTTCGGATCGGCACAGCGCAGCAGCCATAGCGGCCATTTTGGGGGTGAACCAACGGAAGGAAGACCGTTCTCTCTGTCTCTCTCTCTCTCTCTCTCTCACTGTCTAACTCTACCTGTCAAATTAAAAAAAAAAAAGAATTACCAGGCGATCACAGTCTTCCTGCCAGTGCACTCATGACCCCATGTCTCCAGGTTAAGATTCTGTGCTCTATAGTTAGTGACCATTGGATAAACCCATTGTAAAACATATAGTTGACACAGTGATGAAAACAAAGAGGATTCTAATGAGTAAAGTAGGAGATTTTGAGAGTAATTGCAGACTTTTTCTGTTGATAGGTAAGAAGTGCAAATTATGAAACAGATCCATTTGTTCAGGAGTTTCAGTTTAAAGTTCGGGATGAGATGGCACATGTAACTGGACGTGTACTGCCAGCACCTATGCTCCAGTATGGAGGACGGGTAAAAGCTCTCGATGTTTTAATCCCACACATATAGTTTGTAAGTTTTGAGATAAAGGCATCCTAGCTTTGAAATTTACTAAGTGTTTTGTTGTTCTGGAAGTACATGTTTTTGTTTCAAGATGAGTGTCTGCTTTAGTTTAGTAGAATTTTGGGTTTTTATGATAAAAGTATAAATAATATCAATTTAGAACAGCCAATTTCATGTAAAATATCAGAAATATACCAGTTCAGTGACTTGAAATACTTATTTTCAGCTCATTGGAATACATGGTTTGTTAAGCTTTTATTCTTTTCTGCCCTGTTATTTCTCTTTCTCCCTCTTCTACAGAATCGAACAGTAGCAACACCAAGCCATGGAGTATGGGACATGCGAGGAAAACAGTTCCACACAGGAGTTGAAATAAAAATGTGGGCAATTGCCTGTTTTGCCACACAGAGGCAGTGCAGAGAAGAAATACTGAAGTAAGGCATGTCATTACTTTGCTTTGAAGACCTTTTGTGTTTACATTTTTTTTTAAGATTTATTTACTTATTTGAGAGGCAGAGTTACAGGGAGACAGAGGTCTTCCATCCCCTGGTCCACTCCCCAAATGGCAACAACGACTGGAGCTCAGCAAATCTGAAGCCAGCAGCCAGGAGCTTCCTTAGGGTCTCCCACATGGATGCAGGGGCCCAAGCACTGGGGCCATCTTCTGCTGCCTTCCCTTGTGTTTACATTGTAAATTACTCATCTCTGGGGCCAGTGCTGTGGCACATAAGGTTAAGCCTGCTCCTGCAGCACCGGCATCACATATGGGTGCTGGTTCAATCCCAGCTGCTCCACTTCCAATCCAGCTTCCTGCTGATGCGCTTCAGAAGACAGCAGAAGATGGCCCAAGTGCTTGGGCCCCTGCACCCATGTGAGAGACTGGGAAGAAGCTCCTGGCTCCTGCCTTCAGCCTAGCACAGCCCCAGCCTTTGTGGCCATTTGGGGAGTGAACCAGCAGATGGAAGCTCTCTCTTTCTCTCTCTCCTTCTCCCTCTGTATCTTTGCCTTTCAAATAAATAAATAAATAATCTTTAAAAAAATAAAATAAAAAAATAAATTACTCATCTAATGTTCTAACAAATATTTTCTCAATATTGTAGTATAGTTTATCACTGAAACTTTCAGAGTCTTTCTTCTCAATAGTTTGCTAAAGATTCCTGAATTCATTAGTCGTAGTAAAATCATTGATTTATTCTTCTAAACATCCTAAGAAACTAGCTTTTGTATAGTAGCAGCATTGTCTTTTGGTGGCTGATTGGTTAGACTTCATTCCCAGCTTTGCTACTTCCTGGCTTTGTTACCATGAATAATTTATTTAATCCCTTATTCTTCAGTTTTCACTTAATGCAAAATAGAGATAATAGTACTTGCCTGCCAAGTGAGGATAGATCCTTGTTTCTCAACTGAGGATCTTGAAAAAGTGGTTAGACTTCTTGTTTTTACTTACTTACTTTCCAGAATTTGACTTCCTTCTTCACCACTTTTTTCCTCTTCCTCAGATTCTTTTCTTCAACTTGTAAGTACTAAACAATTTTCTGTTAAATTTTTTTTAATCTGGAATTTTTAATTTACCTGACAATCTCTTGGGCTTCCAAATTCTACTCCCTCTCTTCCCTTGAAATCTTAGGGCTCTGTTGTAAATGGTTCCTGGAGGATCTCCTGTATTGCTCTCTTCCTACCACTGTTTTTCTCAAAATAGAAGAGTACTTCAAAAAGTTTGGAAAATGGAATTAAAAGTTTATTCTGGTACAAAAAAAAATTGAAATCCATGCAGTTTTTTCATGATGTACGTCTTTTCATGAACATTTGTAAAGACCCTTCATATGTGGAGCACACAGATCTTTGCTTCATCCACCATTCCCTTCTCAAACTTCCCATTACTTATTTGTAGGTATTGATAGACAAAAGTTTTATATTTAGTGGTTTCTCCTTCTAGGGGGTTCACAGACCAGCTGCGGAAGATTTCCAAGGATGCAGGGATGCCTATCCAGGGTCAGCCTTGCTTCTGCAAATACGCACAGGGGGCAGACAGCGTGGAGCCCATGTTCCGGCATCTCAAGAACACCTACTCAGGGCTGCAGCTCATTATCGTCATCCTGCCAGGGAAGACGCCGGTGTATGGTAAGGATAACATAAAACTGCCTTTTCCCGCAAATACTTGATATTCCTTTTAGGATTGCACTAAAGTATATTCCAAAATTTTCAAGTATTAAAGCATATTTTATGGCCAGCACCGTGGCTCACTAGGCTAATCCTCTGCCTGTGGCGCTGGCACCCCGGGTTCTAGTCCTGGTTGGGGTGCCAGATTCTGTCCCAGTTGCTCCTCTTCCAGTCCAGCTCTCTGCTGTGTGGCCCGGGAAGGCAGTGGAGGATGGCCCAAGTGCTTGGGCCCTGCACCCGCATGGAAGACCAGGAAGAAGCACCTGGCTCCTGGCTTCAGATCGGTGCAGCGCACTGGCCACAACAGCCACTTTGGGAGTGAACCTACAGAAGGAAGACCTTTCTCTCTGTCTCTCTCTCTCTCTCTGTCTAACTCTGCCTGTCAAAAAAAAAAAAAAAAATTATGTTACAGTAACTCCTATTTAAAACCATGTACTATTACTTTTTTTTTTTTTAAGATTTATTTTATTTATTTGAAAGTCAGAGTTACACAGAGAGAGGAGAAGCAGAGAGAGAGAAGTCTTCCATCTGATGGTTCACTCCCCAATTGGCCACAACAGCCAGAGCTGAGCTGATCCGAAGCCAGGAGTCAAGAGCTTCTTCCAGGTCTCTCACATGAGTGCAGGGGCCCAAGGACTTGGGCCATCTTAGACTGCTTTCCCAGACCATAGCAGAGAGCTGGATCAGAAGTGGAACGGCCAGGTCTCAAACCGGTGCCCACATGGGATGCCAGCGCTTCAGGCTAGGCCATTGACCTGCTGCACCACAGCGCCAGCCCCTAATACTTTTTCTTTTAAAGATTTATTTTATTTATTTGAAAGAGTTAACAGAGAGAGGTAGAGACAGAGAGCGAAATCTTCCATCTGATAGTTCATTCCCAATGGCCGCAATGGACGGAGCTGCACCGATCCAAAGCCAAGAGCCAGGAGCTTCTTCCAGGTCTCCCATGTGGGTGCAGAGGCCCAAGGACTTGGGCCATCTTTCACTATCTTCCCAGACCATAGCAGAGAGCTGGACCGAAAGAGGAGCAGCCAGGACCAGAACTGGTGCCCATATGGGATGCCGGTGCTTCAGGCCAGGGCTTTAACCCACTGCGCAACAGCGCTGGCCCCCATGTACTATTACTTGAAGACAAACCAGTACTAAATAGTTCAAGAAGGGACCCTGTAAAAAGAATTTTGGTAACTAAAGGGGAAATCACAGAACAGCACTTAAGTGAGGAATTATTTAGTAAAAATTGCATTGAGGTAACTTGAGTATCAGTATATAATGTAATAGTTAAAAGGATAGGCTCTGGGCTGGCGCCGTGGCTCACTAGGCTAATCCTCCACCTTGTGGCATCGGCACACCGGGTTCTAGTCCCGGTAGGGGTGCTGGATTCTGTCCCGGTTGCCCCTCTTCCAGGCCAGCTCTCTGCTGTGGCCCAGGAGTGCAGTGGAGGATGGCCCAAGTCCTTGGGCCCTGCACCCCATGGGAGACCAGGAGAAGCCCCTGGCTCCTACCTTCGGATCAGCGTGATGTGCCGGCCGAAGCGCACCAGCCACCAGCCACGGTGGCCATTGGAGGGTGAACCAACATCAAAGGAAGACCTTTCTCTCTGTCTCTCTCTCTCTTCCTGTCCACTCTGCCTGTAAAAACAAATAAAAATAAAAAAAGTATAGGCTCTGGTGCCATGGTGCATTGCCTAGTATTCAGGCATTGCCAATTGTATTACGTGTGATTTGACTGAATTACTTACTAAACCTTTTGTTCATCTGTAGAACTGCAATACTAATACCTTACCCATATATGGGTTGGTTATAAGAATTAAATCTTATATATCTGCGCATATATATATATCCTATGTGTGTGTATATATATATATATACACAGATATATATCTGTAAAGGGCTAGAATATATCTGTCATAGTAAACACTCAGTATATTATTATTAAAAATAAGTTTTATGAAATTGATGCTAAATATAAATCACTGAATCATAGAACATAAAGAAAATAGAATTCTCAAACCACTGAGTGGTATAAAACCATTCAATCTTAGATATTATGGAAGAAATAACAAAAGAAAATTATGTGACTTAAGGGCCAGCATAGTAACGCAGCAGGTTACTGGCAGCCTGTATTGGAGTGCCATTTCAAGTCTCAGCTACTCCTCTTCCCATCAGCTCCCTGTTGATGAACCTAGGAAGGCAGTGGAAGATGGCCTAAGTGCTTAGACCCCTGCTACCCATGTGGGAGACCAGGATGGAGTTCAGGGTCCTGGCTCCAGCCTGTCACAGTGCAGCCTTTTGGGGAGTGAATCAACGGATGGAAGAGCTCTCTCTGTTTCTCTCTCTCTCTCCCCCTTTCTCTCTCTCTCATTCTGACTTTAAATATTGAAGGAAGAAAGGGAGGGAGGGAGGGAAAAGAAGGAGGGAGGAAGAGAGGAAGGAAGGAAAGAGAAGGGCAAGGGAAGGGAGGGAGGGAGGGAGGAAGTTCTCCTGAGCACCAAAAAAAAAAAAAAAAAAAAAATCATGTGCTTACATTTTCTGGGGCAGTTGTGTGGCATAGCAGTTAGTACGCTACTTGGAACATTCACATCCCATACTGTAATACCTGGTTCAACTCCCAGCTCTGATCCCAGTTCCAGCTTCCTACTAATGGCACCCTAGGAGGCAGCAGGTGATGGCTGGAGTAGCTGGGTCGCTGACACCCACAGGGGAGTCCTGGATTGAGTTCTCAGCTCTAGGATTTGGCCTTTCACAGCTCTGGCTGTTAACAGGCGTTGGGGGAATGAACTAGCACACGGGAGTGCATACTTTCTTCTTTCTGGGGCAGCAGCAGATATTTGGCCTGGTGGTTAAGATTCCAGTTAAGATGACTTCTTCCCATATTGGAGTGCCTGGGTTCAACACCTGACTCCAGCTCCCTGTTAATGCAGACCCCGGGAGGTACTAGTGGTGGCTCAGGTGGGAGACCACTTGAGAAGTGGGAGGCCACTCATGTGGGAGATCTGGATTAAGTTCTAAATACTGGCTTCAGCTTGGCCTAGCACTAGTCATTGTGAACATTTGAGAAGTGAACCAGTGAATGAGAGCACTCTCTGTCTATCCTGTTTCTTTCTCTACCTCTCTGCCTTGCAAGCAACTTTGCTAGATGTTTGGGCTAGTGGTTAATACACCAGCTAAGGTACCTGTGTATTATCAGAGTACCTAGGTTTGAGTCCCAGCTTTGGCTGCTGATTCCAGCTTCCTGCTAATGTTCTCCCTGGGAGGCAACAAATGATCCTCAGGTAGTTGGGTCCCGCCACCTGGATTGTATTTCTAGCTCCCAACTTCAGTCTGGCCCAGCCGCTGGTCATTGCAGGCATTTGAAGTGAGCTAGGTGATAAGAGCTGTGTGTGTGTCTGTGTGCACGTGCTCATGTGTCTCCACCTATCAAATTTTTCTGTGTGCCACAAATGTACTACATTCAATAGACTGAAAAATATTTTCAACAAATGGAAGCAATAGACTAGTTTATTACCTAAAATATTTGTACAAATTGATAATTGGATTCAAAGAGGAAAAACATCCGTTTTTTTAGAATGAGATAGGACTATATGCCCAAAATTTTTATAATGATACCTGTGATTTAACAGAAAAACTGAGGGTGGGGGCCCAGTGTTGTGGCACAGTGGGTTAATCCAACTCCCTGCTAATGAACCTGGGAAAGCTGTGGAAGATGGCCTAAGGGATTGGGCCCCTGCCACCCATTTGGGAGACCTGGATGAAGTTTCAGGGTCCTGGCTTCAGCCTTACCCAGCCCAGCTGTTGAAGTCATTTGAGGGGAAAACCAGCAGATAAAAAATTTCTTTCTCTATTTCTCTTTCTCTTTCTGTCATTCTTCCATTCACTAGGCAAATCCTCCGCCTTGTGGCGCCAGCACACCGGGTTCTAGTCCCAGTCGGGGCGCCGGATTCTGTCCTGGTTGCCCCTCTTCCAGGTCAGCTCTCTGCTGTGGCCCGGGAGTGCAGTGGAGGACGGCCCAAGTTCTTGGGCCCTGCACCCCATGGGAGACCAGGATAAGCACCTGGCTCCTGCCATCAGATCAGCGCGGTGCACTGGCCGCCGCGCACCGGCCGCGGCGGCCATTGGAGGGTGAACCAATGGCAAAGGAAGACCTTTCTCTCTGTCTCTCTCTCTCACTGTCCACTCTGCCTGTCAAAAATTAAAAAAAAAAAAAAAAAACAAAAACAAACAAAAAAAAAACCCCACATTCTATCTATATCAGAATCCCTAGGTTACATTTCCAGCTCCTAAGCCAGGAGCCCAGGCTCAAAGCAGTGCCTATATCAGATGCCAGCATCCCAGGCATCCATTTAACCCACTATACCACAACACTCACCCCAAAGGGTTGGTTTTTTTTTTTTTCCTTTTATCATACTAAGAGTATAGGGTGTTTTTTGTTTTTGCTTTTTTAATTATTCACACATGAGTGGCAAGGGCCCAAGTACTTGGGCCATCTTCCACTGCTTTCCCAGGCCATTAGCAGGGAGCTGGATAGGAACAGGAGCAGCAGGGACACTGACCGGTGCCCAAGTGAGATGCCAGCTCTGCAGGTAGAATCTTAACCTGTTACACTACAGCACTTGCCCCTGTCCTTTCTTTTTTAAAACGGATGTATTTGAAAGGCAAAGTGATAGAAACAGAGAGATCTTCCATTCCCTGGTTCACTCCCCAAATGGCCACAACTATCAGGACTGGGCCAGGCTAAAGCCAGAAAGCCAGGAAGTCCATTTGGGTCTCCCACAAGGGTGATGGGGGCCGAAGTATCTGGGCTGTCATCTGATGCCTTCACAGGGAGCCAAATCAGAAGTGAAGCAGCTGAGACTCAAACAGATGCTCCCATATGGGATGCTGGCATCACAAGGAATAGCTTAATCCACTGCGCCATAACACCAGCCTTTAAGTGTTCTTTCTTGTTACTGGTCTTATTTGCTTCTTCTCCGAGTAGGCCAATCTCAGCTATTATTCTCTTTATTTGCCTGTTTGGGCACTTATCTGGTGGATCTAAAAACAGTAACGAGGATGGACATTGTGACACAGCAGGTTAAGCTGCTGCTTGGGACATCTATCCCATCTAGGAGTGCCTGAGATGGATCCCATCTCCACTTCAAATCTAGCTTCCTGCTGATGCCAAATGTGCCTGGGAGGCAGCAGGAGATGGCTCAAGTGCTTGATTCCTGCCACCCACATGGGAGACCCAGACTCAGTTCCTAGCTCCTGTCTATGGTCTGGCCCAACCCCAATTTTTACAGGCATTTAGAGAGTGAACCAACAGATGGAAAATCTCTCTCTCCCTCTCTCCCTCTCTCCCTCTCTCCCTCTCTCCCTCTCCCTGTGTGTGTATGTGTGTTTGTGTATGTGTGTGTATCACTCTGCCATAAAAATGAGTATTTTTAAATGATAAATAAAAGCAGTAATTGACTTTCAATTCAGCTTTCTTTTTCTTGTGAGGATGGAAACAGTGACTCATGATGCTATAAATGTTAGAGCTATAACCAAAGTCCAGTGCGATCTTTTAAAGATATACATCTGTGGGACAGCTGCCTGGTGCAGCAGTTAAAATGCTTAATAGCACTCCCACACTACATATCAAAAATGCCTGGGTTTGAATCTGGGCTCCACTCCCAATTCCAGCTTCCTGCTAATATATACCCTGCTCCTGGCTCAGGCTCAGTCCCAGCCATTGTAGATATTTGGAGAGTGAGCCAGTGGATGGAAAATCTCTCTGTGTCTCTGTGTCTTTGTGTGTCTGTGTGTGTGTGTGTATGTGTCACTGCCTTTCAAATAAATAAATAATTAAAAAATAAAAGCAGGGGCCGGCGCTATGCAGTAGCGGGTAAAGCTGCTGCCTACAATGCTGTCATCCTATGTGGACACCATTTTGAGTCCCAGCTGCTCCGCTTCCAACCCAGCTCTGCTGTGGCCTGGGAAGACAGTGGAAGATGGCCCAATTTCTTGGGCCCCTGCACCCACGTGGGAGACCCAGAAGCTCTTGACTTCTGGCTTCTGGCTTCTGGCTTCAGATCGGGCCAGCTCCGGCCATTGTGGCCATTTGTGAAGTAAATCAGCAGATGGAAGACCTCTGTCTCTCTCTCTGCCTCTGCCCCTCTGTAACTCTGACTTTCAATTAAGTGAGTAAATCTTTAAACAATTTTTAAAAAGTTCATTGAGTGGAAGACAGTTTTGTGGCATAGCGGATTGAGCTATTGCCTGAGCCAGCACTCCCAATGCTGTGCATACCACTTCTTTCTTAAAAAAAAAAAAAAAAAAAAAAAAAAAGATTTATTTTATTTAATTGAAAGAGTTAGAGAGGTAGAGACAGAGAGTTCTTCCATCTGCTGGTTCACTCCCCAGATGACCGCAGTGGCCGGAGCTACGCCAATCCAAAGCCAGGAGCCAGGAGCTTCTTCCGGGTCTTCCACACAGGTGCAGGGGCCCAAGAACTTGGGCCATCTTCCACTGCTATCCCAGGCCATAGCAGAGAGCTGGATTGGAAGAGGAGCAGCCAGGACTAGAACCGGCACCCATATGGGATGCCAGCACTTCAGGCCAGGGCGTTAACCCACTGTGCCACAGCACCAGCCCCTACATACTACTTCTGATCCAGCTCCCCACTAATGCCTTGGGAGAGCAGTGGAGGATGGCCCAGGTACTTGGGCCTCTACACGCATGTGGGAGACCCAGGTGAAGTTCCTGGCTCCTGGCTCCTGGCTCCTGGTTTCAGCTTGGCCCAGCCCCAGCTCTTGCAGCCATTTAGGGAGTAAACTAACAGGTGGATGATCTTTCTGTCTCTCCCTCTTTCTCTGTAACTCTACCTTTCAGGCAAATAAATAAATCTTTAGGAAAAAAAGTTTGTTGAGTGAATGAATGTGCCTTTTTGGAAGGCAGTTTGTCATTACCTTTTTTTTTTTTTTTTTAATAAAGATTTATTTATTTATTTTAAAGAGTTACAGATGGAGTGATCTTCCATCGCTGATTCACTCCCCAAATGGCCGCAACAGCTGGGGCTGGGCCAGGCTGAAGCCAGCAGCCAGGAACTTCTTCCAGTTCTTCCACGTGGGTACAGGGGCCCAAGGACTTGGGCCATCTTCTACTGTTTTCCCAGGTGCATTAGCAGGGAACTAGATAGGAAGTGGAGCAGCCGGGACTCAGACCATACCCATATGGGATGCTGGTGCTGCAGACATCAGCTTAACCTGCTGCACCACAGTGCCGACCCCTGTCATTTAAGGTTAAATACATATATTTTCAAACCCTTCACATTTATTTATAGAAATGTATCCTGAAATTACAGTTATACAAGAAAATAATATATATTCATAGAAGGATATTATTCATAGCATTGTTTGAAATAATGAAAACCTGAAAAAAACTTAAAAATATAACCAGCATATGGCTGGCTATATACTTTGTGGTATTTGAAAGCAGAATAACTGCTGCTATTATAAATAATAAGAGCAGCCAGGGGGCCGGCACTGTGGTGTAGCAGGTAAAGCTGCCGCCTACAGTGTTGGCATCCCATGTGGGCGCCAGTTCGAGTCCTAGCTGCTCCACTTCCAATCCAGCTCTCTGCTATGGCCTGAGAAAGCAGTACAAGATGGCCCAAGTCCTTGGACACGTGCATCTGTACCAGCATGGGAAGACCCGCAGGAAACTCCTGGCTCCTGGCTTCGGATTGGCCCAGCTCTGGCCATTGCAGCCAATTGGAGAGTGAACCAGCAGGTGGTAGACTTTTCTCTCTGCCTCTCCTCCTCTCTCTGTGTAACTCTTTCAAATAAATAAATAAATAAGTCTTAAAAAAAAAAAAAAAAGAGCTATCTGTACATTGAGATTGAGAACACATTGTGGGGCTGTGGCTGTGGCATAGGGGGTGAAGCCTCTCCCTGCAGTGCCTGCATCCCATGTGGGCGCTAGTTCGAGTCCCATCTGCTCCACTTCCAGTCCAGCTCTCTGCTATGGCCTGGGCAAGCACTGGAAGATGGCCCAACTCTTTGGGCCCCTGCACCCACATGGGAGACCCAGAGGAAGATCCTTGCTCCTGGCTTCCAATCGGTACAGCTCTGGCTGCTGCAGCCATCTTGGGGAGTGAACCTTTGGATGGAAGACCTCTTTGTCTCTCTCTCTCTCTCTCTGACTCTGCCTCTCTGTTACTCTGCCTTTCAAATAAATAAATAAATATTTAAAATAAAATAAAAAAGAGAACACATTGTATTAAGTTGAGATGACAAGTTGAGAAATAGAATATATAATATGTTTTCAGTTTTTATTTTAAAATGTTTTCTATGTATTTTATATATAAGAAGTTATGCATATCGAAACCTTTAAGGGAAAGGATAGATATCTTTTTATTCTTTCATACTATAATTTTTCTGCATTCTTAAAGATGAGAGAATAGAATTGAAAGTTCTGAGTATACTGTAGTTACAAGTGCATTAAAATAATATAAATGAGAAAATTACTTGGAGAAAAAGCAATAAAATGATAACAAGGGATTATTTATAATTTTCCTTACGTTATTTTTGGTATTCTATTTTTACAGTGGTTCTGAAAGGGGAAAAAGTGATTTTTCCTGAACCTCCTCAGTTTATAGTTTGGACAGACTCCTGTAACAAAAAGCAGGTTAATTAAAAAAACAAAGCCAGTTTATTAACATGTTCAGTGCACATCACATGGGGAAAAATGGCAAGACAAAGCTGTAAGAGTCTTGACTTACATAGTGTATTTAACACAGAACAACTTAAAAAAAGAAAAGAAAAGCAGTCATAGGTTTTCAGAGATGGAAACAATAATGGAATATAGTCTGCTCCCAGATTCTTTTGAGCTGATAAGGATTATAAAGGAGAATTTACAAGGGAGGGTAAGAAAGACCTTTGTCTTTATAAATCTCTGTATTGCTTTTAAGCAAACCGAGAGAGAAGCAGAGAGCTCCCCTGCATCTTAATGGTCTTCATTAGTAATCCTTCAGATCTTTGGGAGGCATATTCCGGTTTCTCTCAATAGTAAAAGTGAGCAATTTTATGCAAAAAAAAAAACAAATTTATTATTATATGCTTAAGCTAATCTTCAAGGCAATGTATTTTAAATTTTAACAGCTTTATTTTAATTTTGGTGTAATTTTTAATGTCTTGTAATGCAATGATATATTTCAAAAGGGAATCATACGATCTTTATTTCCAGTTAGTAAATTTATTTTCAGGTCTTTTTCTTTTTTTTGACTAGAGATATTTGCATTTGTTCCATAGCGGAGGTGAAACGTGTGGGAGACACCCTTTTGGGTATGGCTACACAGTGTGTTCAAGTCAAGAATGTAATAAAAACATCTCCTCAAACTCTCTCAAACTTGTGCCTGAAGATAAATGTTAAACTTGGAGGGATCAATAATATTCTTGTACCTCATCAAAGGTAAGTTAAGCTAATTAATCACTTCAGAAAATTTTGATGATTTTCCATTTCCATTTCTCCAAGTACAGCCATAACTACTATAGAATGTATATGAAAGACTACCTTAATTATTTCTGCCATGGGAGATAAATAGTTTGGATTAAAATAGTTTGGATTGACAAGGTTAAGATTCCCTTTTGAAAATCTCACTCCCCACCCCACCCCACTTTTCATTTAGTATGCTCAGAGTATCTCTTGCCTAGCCAGAAAGTGTTGAGAACTTAATAATTTTCACTGGAGAGCCCAGCTTGAAGTCATCTTTAGTCTGGTTTTCTGTCATGAGATTATTTGCTTGCTTAGAATGTGGGGAGGGAAAGAATGGAGTGAGCATTTGGCTAGTCAATTAAGGAAACTATATTAACCCTACCACAGTCAGTAGGACAACACATGTATTAGATGGCATTCATTAGAGCTCCTAGGAAATATGTGACATCATGACCTAGAAACAGGAAGTGCATTATCTAGGTCGCCGGGGAAAAGCCCAGTGAGAACTCGAACAACAGGTTCTCTTTCAATATGTGAAGCAGCTGGAGTTCCAAGATTTAAGTGTGTTGACCCCAAGCACCAGAAATGGGCTTTAGAATAAAGATTGACCCACATGTGTTTGACACAAAGCCTTTTTTCCCCTTGCTTTTTCATCCTGCCTCTACTTCCTATCCCTGGTAAATATGAGATGAGATTAGTGAATGAGGTGAATATAGAATTTAGTCAACATGTCTAAGAACTAAGAGATAGTCCTTTGGATTTTAAAAGATACAATTCAAAAAAAATTTTAAGATTTATTTATTTACTTGAAAGGGAGAACATCAGAAATAGAGGAGGAAAGTGAGCAAGAGCTTCCATCTGCTGGTTCACTTCCCAAATGGCTGCTACAACCAGGTCCAGGCAGGGCAAAACCAGGAGCTAGGAGCTCCAGCCTGGTCTCCCAAATGGGTAGCAGGGACCCAAATACTTGCCATCCTCCGCTACCTCTCCAGGTACATTAACAGGAAGCTGGGTGAGAAGCAGAGTACCCAGGACTCAAACCAGCGCTTGGAGGGCTGGCATTGGTATAGTAGGTAAAGCCACTGCCTGCAATGCCAGCATCCCATAGGGGACACCAGTTCATGTCGGATTACTCCACTCCCAATCCAGCTCCCTACTAATGACCTGGGAAAAGCAACAGAAGAGGCCCAAGTGTTTGGGCCCCTGCCACCCACATGGACAGGAAGAAACTCCAGTCTCCTTGCTTCAGCCTGGCCCAGCCCCACTCCATCTGGAAAGTGAATCAGCAGATGGAAACTCTCTCTTGCTCTCCATCTCTATCTGTAACTATGACTTACTTTATTTTTTTTTTGATTTATTTATTTATTTGAAAGTCAGAGTTACAAAGAGAAAGAAGGAGAGGCAGAGAGAGAGAAAGGTCTTCTATCCGCTGGTTCATTCCCCAATTGGCCGCAAACCTGGCCAGGAGCCAGGATCCTTTTCCGGGTTTCCCACATGGGTACAGAGGCCCAAGGACTTCTTGGGCCATCTTCTATGCTTTCCCTGGCCATAGCAGAGAGCTGGATCGGAAGTGGAGCATCCCGGTCTCAAATCGGCGCCCATATGGGATGCTGGCACTGCAGGCAGTGGCTTTACTTGCTATGCCACAGCACCAGCCCCCTGTAACTGTGACTTTCAAAAAATAAATAAAATCTAAAAAAAAAAAAAAAAGAAGAAGAAGAACATAAAACAGGGGCCATCACTGGAGCATAGCAAGTAAAGCCACCACCTGTGGTGCCAGCATCCCATGCAGGCACTGGTTCTAGTCCTGGCTGCTCCACTTCCAATCCTGCTCCCTGCTATTGTGCCTGGGAAGTACAGCAGCAGATGACCCACTGTTTGGACCCCTGCACCCATATGGGAGACCTGGAAGAAGCTCCTGGCTCCTAGCTTTGGATTGGCCCAGATCCAGCTATTACAGCCATTAAGGGAATGAACAAGCAGATGAAAAGTCTCTCTCTTTCTCCCTCTCTCTCTCTCTCCCTGTAACTCTGCCTATCAAGTAAATAAATAAATCTTTAAAAAAAAATTTTTTTTAAAAAAACAGCAATCTGATACTGGACACCCTGGAAGGCATCAGGTGATGGTGGTTCAAGGACTTTGATCCCTGCCTCTCATGTGTGACACCATGCTGTAGTTCCAAGCTCCTGGCTTCCGTCTGTGGCCATCTGGGGAGTGAGCTAACAGATGAAAGATCTCTCTCCATCTGTCTCGCTTTCTGCCTTTCAGATAAAATAAAAAAATAAATAAATAAATAGATTTAAAAGACTACCTTTTGACTTTTAAATATGTTCTTTAAATTTATACTTTTAGCCAGAATTGGGGGAGCAGTAGGCTCACATAATCCCTTCCAATCTGAAGGTTAATGCTTCTTTTTCTCCTTGAGTGAATACATAGGCTTAAAATGTAAGTATATTTAAAAAAAAGATTGATTAACATTGGTGGGTTAATATGAGGAAGTTTTATCATTTTGTTTCTGTTACAGAAACCATTAGTATCAGCTGCCTTTAGCAACCACCAGCACCACTGCTTAAGACAAAAACCTGCTCCAAAGAAGACATTGACTAGACCTGTTATAGCAGCTTTTACTTCTTTGGGGATTCATGAATTAATAGCAGTCAGTAGTTCAGGCCTATGACGCCATCTACAGACTTCTGTCCTGTCAGTAACTTGCACTTGTATTGCAATCGTGAAATAAATAAATGGATAATGAACAAATGGATTATCTAACCTTTTAAAAAATGTGTTTAAGACCTTCTGTGTTCCAGCAACCAGTGATCTTTTTGGGAGCAGATGTCACGCATCCACCTGCTGGTGATGGAAAGAAGCCTTCAATTGCTGCTGTGAGTACCATTAGACAGGTTTATCTTTTCTTAAGGTTAGACCAGTGATTAAGAAGTCCAAGTCCCTGGGGCAGACAATGTGGCCCAGGAGATTAAGCCACTCAGGATGCCGGAATTCCATAGCAGATAGACTGGAATAGAGTCTCACCTCCACTTCAGATCCAGCTTCTTGCTAATTTACCTAGGAGGCAGCAGATTGATGGCCCAAGTACTTGGGTTCCTGCCACCCATGTGGGAGACCTGGATGGAGTTCCTGGCTCCTGACTTCACCTGGCTCAGCTCCCAACTGTTGTAGATATTACTAGAGTGGGTGCAGGGCCCAAGCACTTGGGCCGTCCTCCACTGCACTCCGGGGCCACAGCAGAGAGCTGGCCTGGAAGAGGAGCAACCGGGACAGAATCTGGCGCCCCAACTGGGGCTAGAACCCGGTGTGCTGGCGCTGCAGGCAGAGGATTAGCCTAGTGAGCTGTGGCACTGGCAACCTCTACTTTTTTTTTCCAATGTACATTGTCTTCTACATTCATCTAGTTCAATCCTTTGCACTTAAATTCTTTCTTTAATACTGCTACTCTTACTTCTGACGTCTACCTATTATAACTTTGTCTACCTCTGTAATTGTAACCTTTCTGTGTTAATTTGGTTTTAAGTATTTTTCTTATAAACTTCAGTCAGCTTGTGAATATTTTACCCATTTGAAAATCATATCAACTTAACAAATAGCAGTATTTTGAAAATAGCAACATATTTTAGACATAGTTCACAAATTTCAGAAATTATACTACAAGACTTTATATATTTTTCTATCATCCATTGTAATAGTCTTTACACAAATTTTTTTAATGATCTGGTAAATCTTATTTACCCTTGAAATGATGATGTAACAAGAATTCAGTGCAATAATTAAGATAACCCTTGAGGGGCCAGCACTGTGGTGTAGCAGGTAGAGCCACTGCCTGCAGTGCCAGCATCCCATATGAGCACCAGTTCGAGTCCTGGCTGCTCCACTTCTGATCTAGCTCTTTGCTATGGCCTGGGAAAGCAGAAGATGGCTCAAGTCCTTGGGCCCTGCACCCACATGGGAGATCCAGAAGAAGCTCCTGGCTCCTGGCTTCGGATCGGCATAGCTGCAGCCATTGTGGCCATCTGGGGAGTGAACCAGTGGATGAAAGACTTCTCTCTCTGTGTAACTCTTTCAAATAAATAAATAAATCTTAAAAAAAGAAAAAAAGATACCATTTGAGATACCCACATCCCATTTAGGAATGCCTGAGTTCCAGTTTTTTTTTTTTTTTTAAAGATTTATTTATTTATTTGAGAGGTGAAGAGAGAAAAAGAGTGAGAGAGAGTGAGAGTGAGAGAGAGAGAAAGGTCTTCCATCTGCTGGTTCACTCCCCAAATGGCCACAACAGCCAGACCTGGACCGATCCGAAGCCAGGAGCCAGGAGCCTCTTCTGAGTCTCCAGTGCAGGTGCAGGGGTCCAAGGACTTGGGACATTTTCTGCTGCTTTCCCAGGCCATATCAGAGAGCTGGATTGGAAATGGAACAGCCAGAACTTGAACCCACACCCATATGGGATGCTGGCACTGCAGGCAGTGGCTTTACCCACTACGCCACAGTGCTGGCCCCTGGGTTCCAGTCTTGACTTTACTACCCATCCAACTTCCTGTTAATGTATACCCTGGGAGGCAGGAATGATGGCCCAAGTACTTGGGTCCCTGCCATCTATGTGGAAGACTTGGATGGAATTCCAGCTCCTGGCTTTGGCTTTACCAAATTGTGTCTTTACCAATTGTAGGCATTTGTGGAATGAACTAGCAGATGGAACATATTTCTCTTTCTCTCTCTCTCTCTCTCTCTCTCTCTTTCTCTTTCTCTCTCTCTGTCTCTCTCTTTCTCTTTCTCTTTCTCTTTCTCTTTCTCTTTCTCTTTCTCTCTCTTTCTGGCTTTCAAATAAATAAACCCTGGAGTAAGCTTTGTGATACAGTAGGTTAAGCTGTTATTGGGGATGGCCACTTCTCATATCAGTAGAGTACCTGGGACCAAGTCCTGTGTCTGCCTCTGACCCAACTTCTTGTTCTGCACCTAGAAGACAGCAGAAAATAACCCAACTGTTTCAGTCCCTGCCACCCATGCAGGAAGCCTGGGTGGATTTTCTGACTCCTGGCTTCAGCATGGCCCAGCTCTGGCTGTTGCAGTCTTTTAGGGAGCAAACCAGTGGTTGGAAAGAGTGAGACCTGAAAGAAGTTCCTGACTCCTAGCTCGTGGCTTTGGATGGGCTCAGTTCCAGCCATTGTGGCCATTTGAGGAATAAACTAGAAGACCTTTCTCTCTGTCTCTCCCTCTCTCAGTCTGTAACTCTACCTCTCAAATAAATAAAATTTTGGGGGCCGGTGGTGTGGTACAGCGGGTTAACACCCTGACCTGAAGCGCTGGCATCCCATATGGGTGCCAGTTCTAGTCCCGTCTGCTCCACTTCCCCTCTAGCTCTCTGCTATGGCCTGGGATAGCAGTAGAAGATGGCCCAAGTCCTTAGGCCCCTGCATCTGTGTGGAAGACCTGGAAGAGGCTCCTAGCTCCTGGCTTTGGATTGGTGCAGCTCTAGCCATTGTGGCCATCTGGGAAGTGAACTAGCTGGTAGAAGGCCTTTCTCTCTCTCTGTCGCTACCTCTCTCTGTAACTCTGCCTATCAAATAAATAAAAATAAATCTTAAAAAATATTTAAGAAAAAAAAAGTGTACCAATGGTTGGAAGATCTATTCCTCCCTCTCGCTCTCTTTCTCTCTGTCTCACACACACACTGTCTTTGAAATAATAAGCAGTAAATATTTCTTAAAAAAATTCTTTTAGCGGCTGGCACTATTTTGCAGCAGGTTAAACTGCTGTCAGCAGCACCAGCATCTCATATGGGTGCCGGTTCATGTCCGGACTGCTCTACTTCCAATCCAGCTCCCTGCTGATGTACCTGGGAAAAGTGAGAAAAGAGCGAGATCTTCCATCAGCTGGTTCACTCTCCAGATGCCGTGATGACTGGGCCAGGATGAAGCCAAGAGCTTCTTTGAGGTTCCCCACGTGGGTGCAGTAGCCCAAACACCTGGGCCATCTTCTGCTGTTTTCCCAGGCACATTAGTAGGGAGCTGAATTGGAAGCGGAGCAGCCAGGATTCAAACGGAACCCGTATGGAATGCTGGCAGCTTTACCTGCTATGCCACAATACGGCTCCATAAATCTTTTTTTTAGGCCGGCGCCGCAGCTCACTAGGCTAATCCTCCGCCTAGCGGCGCCGGCACACCGAGTTCTAGTCCCGGTTGGGGCGCCGGATTCTGTCCCAGTTGCCCCTCTTCCAGGCCAGCTCTCTGCTGTGGCCAGGGAGTGCAGTGGAGGATGGCCCAGGTGCTTGGGCCCTGCACCCCATGGGAGACCAGGAAAAGCACCTGGCTCCTGGCTCCTGCCATCGGATCAGCACGGTGCGTCGGCCGCAGCACGCCGGCCGCGGCGGCCATTGGAGGGTGAACCAATGGCAATGGAAGACCTCTCTCTCTCTCTCTCTCTCTCTCTCACTATCCACTCTGCCTGTCAAAAAAAAAAAAAATCTTTTTTTTAAAGTCTGTCAAATTTTTTAAAAAAGAAAATGATAAAATAAAAATTTTCATTTAGTTTTCAAAACAATTTTCATTAGTGAATAAAATTGACTTTTATTTGTTTTATCACTTTATATTATTTTTCAACTTTTCTTTGATGTATTTGAAAGATGGAGAGAGACAGAGATTTTTCATCCACTGGTTCAGTCCTGGTTCAGTCCACTAGAACCCAATCCAGGTCTCCCCCATGGGTGGCAGGAACTCAGCTACTTGAACTGCTACCTCTTGCTGTCCAGAGTATATGTTAGCATATACTGGAATCAGAGTAGATCTGGGGGGCTCAGCACTGTGGCGTAGTGGTTAAAGCCACCTCCTACAGTGCTGGCATCCCATATGGGTGCCGGTTCAAGTCCCAGCTGCTCCACTTCCAATCCAGCTCTCTGCTATGGCCTAGGAAAGCAATAGAAGATGGCTCAAGTCCTTGGGCCCCGTACCCGCGTGGGAAACCCAGAAGAAGCTCCTGACTTCTGGCTTTGGATAGGCACAGCTGCAGCTGTTGCGGCCAACTGGGGAGTGAACCAGTGGATGGAAGACCTCTCTCCCTCTGCCTCTCCTTCTCTCTCTGTGTAACTCCAACTTTCAAATAAATAAATAAGTCTTAAAAAAAAAAAAAAAAAGTAGATCTGGGACTCAAACCCAGGCAGTTTGATATGAAATTTGCATGTCCCAAGTATCAACTGTCATGCTGAATGCCTACCCCAAGAAAATAGTTTTTTACCCTATGGTGTATATATTATTGTTTTGGATATATATCTGTTTTTCACTGAGAATTAGCTGGTTTTGATTACATTCAAAGAAAATGGTTATAAACAATAAGATTATAGTACAATACAAATGTAAATAAAATCCATGTATTTTTTATTGTCTCAATCCATTTTTCTTTACTTTTTCCCTCCAGGTTGTAGGTAGTATGGACGCCCACCCAAGCAGATACTGTGCCACAGTTCGAGTTCAGAGACCCCGACAGGAGATTATTCAGGATTTAGCTTCCATGGTCCGGGAACTTCTCATTCAGTTTTATAAGTCAACTCGATTCAAACCTACTCGTATCATCTTTTATCGGGATGGTGTTTCAGAGGGACAATTTAGACAGGTTGGTTGCCTGGAATCCCATCAGACTGTGGTTGAATCAGATACTGTGTTGGTAATATGGCCTCTAGTTCTCAAGTTTAAAACATCAAGTTCCTATACTTAGTTATAAAATGATAAGTTTAAGAAATCATAAGATGGGCTGCTGCTATGGCACAGCGGTTTAACACCCTGGCCTCAAGTGCTGGCATCCCATATGGGTGCTGGTTCGAAACCTGGCTGCTCCACTTCCAATCCAGCTCTCTGCTATGGCCTGGGAAAGCAGTAGACGCCCCTGCACCTGCGTGGGAGACCCAGAAGAAGCTCCTGGCTCCTGGCTCTTGGCTTCAAATAGGCGCAGCTCCGGCCGTTGCGGCCAACTGGAGAGTGAACCAACAGATGGAAGACCTTTCTCTCTCTGCCCCTCCTCTCTCTGTGTAACTCTGACTTTCAAATAAATAAATAAACCTTTAAAAAAAATCTTAAGACTAAGTCATATCTTACTTCGAAGTGTATGAAAGAGAACAACTATTTTAATCTTTCCATTTCATCTTCTCTAGGTTTTATATTATGAATTATTAGCAATTCGAGAAGCCTGCATCAGTTTGGAGAAAGACTATCAACCTGGAATAACCTACATTGTAGTTCAGAAGAGACATCACACTCGATTATTTTGTGCTGATAGGACGGAAAGGGTAAGCATATATTTGTTTACTTGTATTACTGTCATAAGCTAAACCTGGCTCACATAATTCACAGAGCACTTGACAAGGGCTGTCTCCCAGTAGCAGAATTTCCATTATGGAGTACCAGATTTCAACCATTGGACTATGCATGAGTAAAAAAGTGTCCAAATAAGTTAATTATTACTTTTTATTTATTAGAAAGGCAGAGTGAGTGAGTGAGTAAGTGAGAGAAAGATCTTACATCGACTGGTTCACTACCCAAATACCTACATCAGCTGGGGCTTGGCCAGGCCAAAACCAGGAGCCAGGATTTCCATCCAGGTCTCCCACATGGGTGGCAGGAGCCCAAGCACTTGGGCCATCTTCTGTTGCCTCCAAGGTGCATTAGCAGGAAGCACGATCAGAAGCAGAGGAGCCAGTGTCCAGCATTGTAGCACAACAGGATAAGCCACTGCCTGCACTGCCAACATCTCATATGTGTACCAGTTCAACTCCTGGCTACTCTGCTTCTGTTCCAGCTCCCTGTTAATATTCCTGGAAGAGCAGCATTACATGACCCAAGTTCTTAGGCCTCTGCCACCCACGTGGGAGACCTAGAAGGAGTTCCAGGATCCTAGCTTCAACCTGACCCAGCCCCAACTATTGCCAGGCATTTAGGAAGTGAACCAGCAGACAGAAGATAGCTCGCTTGCTCACTCACTCTTTCTCCCTCTCTCTTTGCTTTTCAAATAAATAAACCTTTAAAAAATAAATAAATAAAAAGCCATTCCCTAGATCACACAACTGGAAAGCAGTGAGGCTGTGATATGAATCCAGACATTTTGCTGCCTCTCTAAACAAGAGTACCCTTTTTTTTGTTTTGTTTTAAAGATTTATTTATTTATTTAAGAGGCAGAGTTATAGACATAGAAATCTTCCATCCACTGGTTCATTCCCCAAATGGCTGCAATGGCTGGGGCTGTGCCAGGCTGGAGCCAGGAGCCAGGAGATTCTTCTGGGTTTCCCATGTGGGCTCAGGGACACAAGTACAGGGGCCATCTTGCACTGCTTTCCCAGGTACATTAGCAGGGAGCTGGATCAGAAGTAAAACAGCCGAGATGGGATATGGTGCCCATATGGGATGCTGGCACTGCAGGCAATGGCTTAATCTTCTACACCATAGTGCCAGCCCCCAAGAGTTCACTTTTTAAAAAAAAAATATTCAATCCATGCATATTTTCTTTCTTGTTTTTAAATTAGAGTTGGGGAGATAACACAGACAGAGCTTCTACTCACTGTTTGATTCCCGTGTATGCCTGCAACAGCCAGGACTGGGCCAGGCCCAAGCCAGAAGCTAGGAACTCAGTCCAGTTCTCCTACACTGGTGTCAGAGATCCATCCAGCCAGTTATCACCTCCTGTTTTCCAGGGTCCACATTAGCAGGAAGTTGAAATCAGGAGACAAAACTAGGAATCTAACTCAGGCTCTCTGGTATGTGCCTTAACTGCTAAGCCAAACACCCCACCCCACAATTCCCACCAAGAGTACAACTTTTGATAAAAGGCTCATGTGTTGCTAATTTATAAGTTTGTGTTTTTGTTTTTGTTTTTGTTTTTAAGATTAGGCATGATTGAGAAGATTATGAACTGTTGTCTTTGTTTTAGGCTTGGCAAGTCTAACTGGTTGCTCCACACATCTGTAATTCAAGACATTTATGCAGTAGCAATCCTTCACATGGCAGTAATAATGTCTGAGTCAATCAGATAGTTTCTTATCTACTAGCTGTATAAACCTATACAAATAATGATTTTAAATGTGTTGTTGATAAGGGGGTAGATATGAGTATAATACACAGTTTAAAGTGTTTTACTGGGAGCTTTTCATTATCAGGAATTTTGAATTATTTCAGTAACATACCTACTCAGAGAAAAATCATGATAACTGTTTTCTTCTGAGATGGTGAAACTGTCCATATGCAATAAAAGGTATAGAGCCTATAAGTCACGTTTGTGTTCAAATCCCAGTTCTTCCGTATATTGCATGTGAGTCCTGAACCTTAGTTTTCCCATACAGATGGGATAATATCTAACTTGCAGGATTGTCATCAGGATTTAAGTGACATGTAAGTAATTAACAAATGGTAACTACTGCTGATCTTGTGGTCAGCATTCTTTGTTTCTAAACATAAAGTGTAGTGTTCTCCAAGGACAATTCTAGTTTTCTTAACTCACTGATGGAAGAGTACCCACCTGTATACAGAGGTATTTTCAGAATATTGCCATTTGTTAAGTTGAAATGATTTTCAAAATGTGTAAAATACTAGCAAACTGTCTGAAGTGTGTAAGAAATGTACTTGAAACCAAACCAACACAGAAAGGTTGCAATTACAAAAGTAGACAAAGATATAACAGGCAGGTATCAATCACCTGCTGCCCTCAGGCGTGCACATTAGCAGGAATCTTGAGTTGAGAGCAGAGCCAGGGCTCCAACCCCGGCCCTTTAGTATGGGATATCACAAGCAGTGTTTTAACTGCTATGCAAAACACCTGTGCCAGTGTATACATTATATTTTTCATATATGTTCTTTACCTTTGTCTTATTTATTTAAACTTTGACCAAACAAATCTAGGTTGGCAGAAGTGGCAATATCCCAGCTGGAACAACAGTTGATACAGACATCACACACCCATATGAGTTTGATTTTTACCTCTGTAGCCATGCTGGAATACAGGTAAGCCTGCCGTGTGGGCGAAATCTTTTAATGCAAAAACTTACGTTCTTATGTGTATTTTTTAAATCTCAGAAGGAGAAGAAAGTATTCTTCAACTCTTCCCTTACCTTCAGATGGGCTATTTTTATGAAAATTAGAATACAGTTAGTGTAACAGAATAAATCTTCCTTAATTTAGCCTAAATCTTTGAAAAAGCTTAAAGTAACTAAGAGTTCCTTTGACTATGCTTCTTGTTGATGATATTATATAGAAAACTTTCATATTTCCTGGTAGATAGTGAGCTTGTGAAAGAGTTTAATTGCAGAATTATAGCTTTCTGTTTCAGTTAAATGATTTTAAGAATCTTTTCTTATTTCCAAAGAATCTTTTCATTAATTTGTTGGTTTTACTTGGTAATTAATTAATTCAGTGTTTCTCAGACTTTGCAGCAATAGGAAGAAACTCATATCCCAAGGGTATCTGAGAGGATATAGCCCAAAACTCTCTTAAGTTATCTGTCATTAAGGTAGAAATTTCAGAAAGATGTACCTTACTTGACAGCTATGTCTTACAGTTTCACATGCCGCACATGCACTAACCCCTTTCAAACTCTTATCTTTAAAATATTATCACACTCTTTCATCTATGTTCTTATATCAGTTTCTCTTCAGAATCAATGTTGTGTGTCTTCAGAGTGAGTGGGAACAATCACAAAAAAAAGTTAATGGCACCTTCTAGGGATAAAGCCTGTATCACTAAAGCACATATTTCTTTTTTTGTTTTTTTTCTATTTTTTATTTATAAGAAGGGAACAAATTTCATATATTTCATATATACAATTCTAAGACATAATGATACTCCCTATGGAGTACATATTTCTCTTTTTTAAAGATTTATTTATTTATTTGAAAGACAGAGTTACAAAGAGGCAGAGGCAGAACGAGAGATCTTCCATCCCGCTTGTTCACTCTCCAAATGGCTGCAATAGCTGGAGCTGGGCCAATCCAAAGCCAGGAGCCAGGAGCTTCTTCCAGGTCTCCTACATGGGTGCAGGGGCCCAAACAATTGGGCCATCTCCCATTGCCCTCCCAGGCCATAGCAGAGAGCTGGATTGGAAGTGGAGCAGCCAGGTCTTAAACCAGCACCTATATGGGATGCTAGCACTACAGGCGGTGGCTTTACCCACTACATCACAGTTGCAGCCCTTGTTAGTTTTTTGTTGTTGTGTGTGTGTGTGTTTTTTTTTTTTTTTAAGATTCATTTATTTATTTGGAAGACAGAGAGTTACAGAGGCAGAGAGAGAGAAAGATCTTGCATCTGCTGGTTCACTCCCCAAATGCACACAACAGCTGGAGCTGGGCCAATCTGAAGTCAAGAGCCAGGAGCCAGGAACTTCTTCCGGGTCTCCTACATGGGTGCAGCATACATTTAACCAAAAATCTTAGGGATCAGTTTTCCATTGGAACACTAGTGTCAGATTTCTGCTCTAGTCAGCAAATAATGTGGAATATTTCACAGGGACTAAAGACTGTTGTTTATATGTCTTCTCAGCTTCATTAAGATTTTTTCTTCTTTTTAAATAAGTTTATATATTTGAGAGGCAAATACAGACAGCTCTCATCTGCCTCTTCACTCCCCAAATTTCCACAACAGCTTGTGCTGAGCCAAGCAGAAGCCAGGAGCTGGGAACTCATCTGGGTTTCCCATGTGGGTGGCAGGGTCCCAACTATTTGAGCCATCACTTGCTTCTTCCCAGGGTGTGCATCAGCAGGAAACTGGAACCGAGAGCAGAGCCAGGACTCCAACCTAGGCACTACAGTATGGGTGGGATCTGTTTTGTGTCCCAAGCAATGCTCAACTTTTATGCCAAACGCCCAACCCTTTTAAAATTTTTTAAAACTTAAATTTTTTTAAAGATTTTATTTATTTGAAAGGCAGAGTTACAGACAAGGAGAGGCAGAAAGAAAGAGAGAGAGGTCTTCCATCCACTGGTTCGTTCCCCAGATGGCCGCAACAGCCAGAGCTGCGCCAATCCGAAGCCAGGAGCTTCTTCCAGGTCTCCCACACAGGTGCAGGGGCCCAAGCACTTGGGCCATCTTCTACTGCTTTCCCACGCCATAGCAAATAGCTGGATTGGAAGTGGAGCAGCCGGGAGTCGAACTGGCACCCATATGGGATGCTGGCACTGCAGACTTGTGGACTCTCAGGAAGTGTCCAGGTAAAGAATGAGATGATAGTCTCCACTTCTTTTTTTTATTTTATTTTTTTTACTTTTTTAATTTTTTTTATTTATTTGAGAAGTAGAGTTACAGAGAGAGGGAGAAACAAAGAGGAAGGTCTTCCATCCGCTGATTCACTCCCCAAATTGCCACAATGACCAGAAGTAAGCTGATCTGGAGCCAGGAGCCAGGAGCTTCTTCCGGGTCTCCCACACAGATGCAGCACTTGGGCCATCTTCCACTGCTTTCCTAGGCCATAACAGGGGTTCCCGATACTCTCCACTTTTTTTTTTTTTTTTTTTGATAGGCAGAGTTAGACAGTGACAGAGAGAGAGACAGAGAAAAAGGTCTTCCTTCCGTTGGTTTACCCCCTAAATGGTTGCTAAGGCTGGCGCGCTAGGCCGATCCAAAGCCAGAAGCCAGGTGCTTCCTCCTGATTTCCCATGCGGGTGCAGGCCCAAGCACTTGGGCCATCCTCCACTGCACTCCCGGGCTACAGCGCCCCAGCCGGGACTAGAACCTGGTGTGCCGGCGCCGCAGGCAGAGGATTAGCTTAGTGAGCCATGGCGCCAGCCGATAGTCTCTACTTCTAATGGTCTGTTGTCTTTTTTTTTTTTTTAAGGTTTATTTTTTATTTATTTGAAAGGCAGAGTTAGAGGAGGAGAGACAGAGTTACAGAGAGAGAAAGAGTGAGAGATCCTCCATCTGCTGATTCATTCCCCAAATGGCTGCAGTAGCTGGGGCTGGGCCAGGCCAAAACAGGAAGCCTGGAGTTTCTTCCAGGTCTCCCACATGGGTGCTGGGGCCCTACCACTTGGACCATCTTCTGCTGGTTTCCCAGGCACATTAGCAAGGAGCTGGATTGGAAGTGGAGCAGCCAGGTTGAGAACTGGCACCCATGTGGGATGCCAGTGTCGCTGGTGGAGGCTTAGCTTGCTATACCACAACACCGGCCCCACAGGTTCTTATCTTTATGACTGAGTCTCTTGGAGTCCCCCTTACTTCTCTTCAAGGGAGAGAATGTACTTCCCTCGGAGGTAAAGTACGTATTCCCACAAAACCCACAATCACTCTTCCTATACTGAGAAGATGGGAGCAAGGTGAGAAGAAACCAGACCCCAGGATATTGATGGTGAGGCCTGACTTGAACTGGTTCCTTTCAGTGGGCCCTTGGGAAAGATGGCAGGCGCCTATGGTGTCTAGCTCTTTAGAATGTAGGATTTTTTAACACCTTTTCTTCTCACCTTTGAGCCTTAGTTGAAACTCCATAACAGCAGAGGAGGGCAAAGTCTCTATTGATATACTTTTAGAGTGTGTAACTGGCCGGCACCACGGCTCAGTAGGCTGGTCCTCTACCTTGCGGCGCCGGCGCACCAGGTTCTGGTCCCGGTCAGGGCGCCGGATTCTGTCCCGGTTGCCCCTCTTCCAGGCCAGCTTTCTGCTGTGGCCCGGGAGTGCAGTGGAGGATGGCCCAAGAACTTGGGCCCTGCACCCGCATGGGAGACCAGGATAAGCGCCTGGCTCCTGCCATCGGATCGGCGCGATGCGCCCGCCACAGCGCGCCGGCCGCGGCAGCCATTGGAGGGTGAACCAACGGCAAAGGAAGACCTTTCTCTCTGTCTCTCTCACTGACCACTCTGCCTGTCAAAAATAATAAAAATAAAAAAAAAATAGAGTGTGTAACCCCTCTGTCTGACCTACCAAAGGAAATTCCCCAAAAAATAATTGCTTCCTGTAGAAGAAGAGAGTAGGCAGTGCCCTAAATCATAACTTCCTAATACAATCACCAAAACTTCCAAGACAGCCTTCACTGCTGTTTAACGGTCCTTTGACGTCCCTTTCATTAGCTCTCTATGCCAGTTTTCCTAGATTTCTAACCTTGGTCTGTTGCCCCCACATTCAGCATATGACCCCCGTACTTTCTGTGCTCCTCCTTCAGAGTAAAAGGTCATTCTGTAGTATTCTCCCTTGCCTGCCTGAAGATAACCTTAATTCAGCAGTTATCTTCTTTCTTATGTCTTCATTCTCCTTGAAGCTTCATTCTCTTTTTTTTATTTGGGCCGGTGCCACGGCTCAATAGGCTAATCCTCCGCCTGCGGCGCTGGCACTGAGGGTTCTAGTCCCAGTCGGGGCGCCGGATTCTGTCCCGGTTGTCCCTCTTCCAGGCCAGCTCTCTGCTGTGGCCCAGCAGTGCAGTGGAGGCTGGCCCAAGTCCTTGGGCCCTGCACCCCATGGGAGACCAGGAGAAGCACCTGGCTCCTGGCTTCGGATCAGCACAGTGCGCCGGCTGCAGCGGCCACTGGGGAGTGAACCAATGGAAAAGGAAGACCTTTCTCTCTCTCTCTCTCTCTCTCTCTCTCACTGTCCACTCTGCCTGTCAAAAAAAAAAATATATATATATATATATAGTTCTTTGATCCTGCTCTTCTTCATTAAGTTATTGCCCCATGTCTTTATTCCATTTACCACCAAACTGTCCTTAAAAAGAATAGCACAAGGGGTTGACATTGTGGTGCAGCAGGTTAAACTGCTACCTGCAACAGCAGCATCCCAAATGGTCATCAGTTCAAGTCCCAGCTATTCCACTTTCCATTAGCTCCCTGCTGATGCGTTTGGGAAGGCAGCAGAGGTTGGACCAAGTTCTTTCTTGGGAACCTGCCACCCATGTCAGAGACCTAGATGGAGTTCCTGGCTCCTGGCTTTTGCTTGACCCAGCATTAGCTGTTGGCGGATGTTTGGGGAATGAACCAGTGGATGGAGAATCTCTCTTTCTCTTTTTCTCTCCTTAATTCTGTAACTGTACCTTTCAAATAAATAATTTTTTTAAAAAAATAGCCCAAGTACACCCATCAGAAAGTCTATAGTTTAAAAAGGCAGGCAATATTTTTTAATTTATTTTTTAAATACAAACTTCATAAGTACCACTTTAGGAATATGGTTATTCTTCCCACCATATCAGCCCTCCCATCCACACTCTCACCCCCCGTCCCCTTGCCAGTCCCATTCTCCATTAAGATTCATTTTCACTTAACTTTGTACACAGAAGACCAACTCTATACTAAGTAAAGATTTCAAGAGTTTGCATGCGCACACACACACACACACACACACAACTCACACACTCACAAACTATTTGAAAACTAACGCCCACTTTTTTTTTGTTTCTTTTTTTTTTTTTCCGACAGGCAGAGTGGACAGTGAGAGAGAGAGACAGAGAGAAAGGTCTTCCTTTTTGCCGCTGGTTCACCCTCCAATGGCCGCCGCTGCAGCCGGCGCACCGCGCTGATCCTGGCAGGAGCCAGGAGCCAGGTGCTTTTCCTGGTCTCCCATGGGGTGCAGGGCCCAAGCACCTGGGCCATCCTCCACTGCACTCCCTGGCCATAGCAGAGAGCTGGCCTGGAAGAGGGGCAACCGGGACAGAATCCGGCGCCCCAACCGGGACTAGAACCCGGTGTGCCGGCGCCGCAAGGTGGAGGATTAGCCTATTGAGCCACGGCGCCGGCTTGAAAACTAATTTTACAGTTAACTCTCATAATAACAACTCATTGAGGACAGAGGTCCTGCATGGGGAGTTAGTTCACAGTGACTCCTGTTGTTAATTTAACAGTTAACACTCTTATGTATGACGTCAGTGATACATGTCAGTGCTCTTGACATGAGCAAGGCAGACAATGTTAAGAATGTGGAGCAACTAGACCTCTCAAAAACTTTAGGTGGAAGTATAAACTGATAGGAATACTTTTGAAAACTGGTATTGTGGCCAGCGCCATGGCTCACTAGGCTAATCCTCCGCCTTGTGGCGCCAGCACACCGGGTTCTAGTCCTGGTCGGGGCGCCGGATTCTGTCCTGGTTGCCCCTCTTCCAGGCCAGCTCTCTGCTGTGGCCTGGGAGTGCAGTGGAGGATGGTCCAAGTCCTTGGGCCCTGCACCCCATGGGAGACCAGGAGAAGCACCTGGCTCCTGCCATCGGATCAGTGCGGTGTGCCGGCCGCAGCGCACCAGCCGCGGCGGCCATTGGAGGGTGAACCAATGGCAAAGGAAGACCTTTCTCTCTGTCTCTCTCTCTCACT